CAACTATTTTCCTCGTTTAGGGTTTGTCTTTTGACTTTTCTTATGTTATTTTATGCCATGCAAAGATTTGGTATTTTGTTGTGTGGGAGGAGTGTAATCAAATTTATTCTTGTTGTCCTCTCTGATATACAAATGCTAACACAATGAGGAGGGGAGGGAAGAATAAAAGTTCATTGGATTAGACAAGGGGGATGAAGGGAGGGGAGGGATGTGAAGAGGAAAGACAGTAGAAGGAACTGGACATAGCTTTCCTTTGTTCACATATGAAGATGTGACCAGTGTGACACCACATCATGGACAACCACAGGAACGCAAGTTATACTCCATGTGTGTATAATATGCCAAAAAATACACTCTATGGGCTGGGTTTGTGGCTCAAGTGATAGAACGCTCGCCTAGCACCTGTGAGGCACTGGGTTCGATCCTCAGCACCACATAAAAATAAAATAAAGATGTTGTGTCCACTGAAAACTAAAAAAAAATATATTAAAAAAATACACTCTTCCGAAACCAGACAAAGACACCTAAAGAAAGAAAACTATAGACCAATATCTCTAATGAACCTAGATGCAAAAATCCTCAATAAAATTCTGGCGAATCGGATACAAAAACACATCAAAAAAAATGTGCACCATGATCAAGTAGGATTCATCCCTGGGATGCAAGGATGGTTCAATATACGGAAATCAATAATAATATTATTTCATTGAAGATATTGTGCATTCCTTTGGTTTATATCTCGGTGCCTTCCTCTATCTCAATAATTCTTAGATTTTGTCTTTTCATGTTATCCCATAATTCTTGGAGGTTCTGTTCATGGTTTCTTACCATCTTCATTGTGTGGTCAACTTTATTTTCAAGATTATATATTTTGTCTTCATTGCCTGAGGTTCTGTCTTCCAAGTGGTCTAGTCTATTGGTGATGCTTTATATTGAATTTTTTATTTAGTTTATTGTTTCCCTCATTTCAAAGATTTCTGGTATGGTTCTTTTCCTCAGTGTCTCCTTCTCTTTCTTGATGAAATTTTTGCTACCTGTATTTCCTCTTGTATCTCTTTGTTGGAGTAATCAATTTGCTGCCTGTAATTGCTTTATTATTCTGTGCTTTGCAGATCATTATAATTATATACAATCTAAACTCCTATCTGACATCTCTGCTACTGTGCTGTCAATGGATTCTATTATTGTATCATCTTGGTTGGTTTGGGGTATTTTCTTCCTTTCTTTCATGTTGTTCCTGTGTCTTCCTCTTCAGCAGTGTGGATCTGAGATATAAAGTTTTCACCAGAAAATCTTGTAGCATTCCTGCAGGTTAGCAATCCCTTGCCTCTGTGTAACCAGGCCCGCAGAGACCTTGGTGTTGGTCTTCCCAGTCTTATCTGTTCTGCTAGATGGCAGGGACCTGGTGATGGTCTTCTCAGTCCTAGTGTTGGCTCAAGGTGGCAGGGACCTTGGTGATGGTCTTCCCAGTCCTGGCTGTTGTCTCTAGGTGACAGGGACCTTGGTGATGGTCTTCCCAGTCCTGGCTGTTGTCTCTAGGTGGCAGGGACCTTAGTGATGGTCTTCCCAGTCCTGGCTGTTGTCTCTAGGTGGCAGGGACCTTGGTGATGGTCTTCCCAGTCCTGGCTGTTGTCTCTAGGTGACAGGGACCTTGGTGATGGTCTTCCCAGTCCTGGCTGTTGTCTCTAGGTGGCAGGGACCTTGGTGATGGTCTTCCCGGTCCTGGCTGATGTCTCTCCTTGGCAGGGACCTTGGTGACGATCTTCCCAGTCCTGGCTGTTGTCTCTAGGTGGCAGCAGGTGGAGAGCTGGGTTTGTAGGTGGGAGTACAGTGCAGTTGGCAGCCTCCTCCACCCCCCCACCCCCCCACCCCCGTCAGCAGGGATTGCTCTGCTTCTCCTCCTTGGTGCCTCAGGCCGGGAGCGAGGCTTCTCATTGTGTTCTTGGCATCTGTTGCTGGTATCCTGTTCAGAAGTTTTACATCAATCAGTATTCACATGAGGTATCAGTTGGTACTTTCCTTTATACTGATACTCTCTTTACCATGTTTAGATATAACTGTTATACTTGATTAATAAAAGAAAAATGGAAATTTTTTCTTCATTTTCTAGGCTCAGAAATAATTTATGCAGCATAGAGACAATTTGATTCCTATGGTTTGATCGAATCCCATATGAAACCATTTGGGATGGGTTTTTGTTTGTTTGTTTGTTTTTGTAGCGTAGTTCCTTAAATATTTTCTCTATTTTCTATAGACATTGGACTATTTAACTTTCATCTATACTGAGGTCAGTTTGTGGGGAGGGTACTCAGGATTGAACTTAGGCGTACTCAGCCACTGAGCCACATCCCCACCCCAATTTTACACTTTTTTGGAGTTGCTTAACATCTCACTTTTGCTGAGAGTAGCTTTGAACTCACAATCCTCTTGCCTCAGCCTCCAGAGCTGCTGGCTGAGATCAATTTTTATAGCTATATTTTCCTCAGGTATTATTCATCTAACCTGGGTTTCAAATTTACTCATATAAAGTTTTACAAAATAACTTTTAAGGTCTTTATTTCCTCTATGTCAATAATTACCTTTCTTTGTTATTTCTTATTTTATCATTCAAACTTTCTTCCTTTTTTGATAAAATTAGATAATGGATTGTATATTTTATTTCTATGAGAACCAGGATTTCATTTATTTATTAATTTGATCTATGTCTTTCTGTTCTCGACATCACTAATTTCTGCTCCTGTCTTTTTTTAATATTTATTTATTTATTTTTAGTTATAGGCTTAGGAATCAAATAGTCTGTATGCTGTATAAATTATTTCTGAGCCTAGAAAATGAAGATAGCTTTATTTTATTTTATTTATTTTTTATGTGGTGCTGAGATTGGAACCCAGTGCCTCATGCATCCTAGGTGAGCGCTCTACCTCTGAGCCATAGCCACAACCCTCTGCTCCTGTCTTTATTCTAGCTTTATAATTTCCTTCCTTTCATATTCTTTTGGTTTGTTTACGTGTTCTCTTCCTTCCTTTTTGAACTGAAAACTAAGTTTATTTACTTTTTTCTTTCATTTTTAGTAACATAGGAATGATTGGTTCTAATATAAAGTGTTTTTATTGGAAACAATATAATTTCTGTTTATATTTCTGTTCACACAAAAGTTGGTTGATAGAAGTTTTTTTGTTTTTGTTTTTGTTTTTGGTTTGGTTTATTTCTAGATGGAAGGGCTCATTTAGTTTTTGTTCCTAGTTTTATTGCACTGTGATCAGAGAATGTTAACATTTCTACATTTTGCAATTTTTTTTCTGCATTTAATATATGACCATATGTACCCAAGAAGAGAGTTCATCTTCTGTTGTCAGAGTGTGCTGTTGGCTAGTCTGCCAGTCTGACTCTGGGGAGCTTCCTTAGAGATGGTCCTGCCCCGTCTGTCATTCTGAGGAAGGATCAGAGCTACCGTCTGGCAGGGTGTGCCCTGCTCAGATTCCTTACTTCCTTCTGTGCTCTCAGCTGGTCCCTTTGAGGCCTTGTCTGCTCTTGTGGCCGGCAGCCCTGGAGGGAAGCTGTTGTTGTTTTTTTGTTTGTTTTGGTGCTGGGGATTTCTAAATACATTTATCAGCAGAGTGTTTCCTGGGAGCAGATTTAGAGCATGCATGGTATTTTTAAAATAAAGGCTGGAAATATGGCTAAGGAGTGTCATGTAGGAGCTGACACATGTTCTGAGCCTGTATACATTTTGGCTTTTTGCTTCCTATCTACATTCAGTATTTATCAATAGCAAATTTAAGGGTGAGAGAAACAAGTGGGCAATAGAGCTTGCCACAACTGGAAAAGGGGGGACACTACGTATACATGGGCACTTAGAAACCAGGTGGTGAGTATCTGTTACGCCCTAGACATCAGCGAAAATGTACAGGAGGTAGCTCCATGGCCTGTCCCCTTCAGAAACACAGACATCAAGCAGAGACTGCCAGAACAAAGTTTGTCAGTTCTCTGAAGAACAGGCAAAGGTCTTCCCCAGCAAGACCTGACTCAAGAAAAGGCAGCTAGAGAGTGTGAGGAGAGCTTTGAAGTATCCACTTGTCCCACCTCCACTCAGGACCTGATCCTTGGTTCCAGAGGGAGCGGAGCTTGCCTTGATCTCAAAGAGGCATGTGTGTCTCTTCTCATGAGTCCAGGGCTGCCTGGAGGACTGGTCCAGGTGCTTGTCATTGTCTCACCTAACTCACACCCATTTGGCACAGGAAAGTGGTGGGCAAAATAATCATAGTTGAAGCAAACAATAGGACACTGAACGCTCTGGAGGAAAAGCCAGGGAGAGACATTCTTTGGGAAAGTAGGCCATACTAAAGTGCTTGTGAATGCTGGGAAATCTAAAAGGCCTCCTGCATGTCCAAGACAACTCCCATGCTTGGAAAAGACCTTTTACCTTAGATTGGTCTTGAGGCTCAGTGCAAGGAGGAAGTGAAGGCTGAGGCATCGTTGGGAACCCCCTGGCTATGCAGGGAAGCGGGCCCAGCACAGACCCACTCACAAACACTGGGAGAGGTTTCCTCTCTGTCTTTCTGGCTCTGGCTCTGTCTCTCTTCCCCTTTTGGCTCCTAAATCTGTGCTCAGTTCATTAGGGAAGCCTGGTGTAGATGCTGAGGATGTCTGCAAGAGCAGCAAACAGAGCTGGCTGCCTGTCCTTGGAGGATGCCCAGGCAGGGAGGAGTGACCCTTGGTGGCATGTGCAGAACACTGAGCTTCTCAGCTGTCTCGGCTTTAATTTTGGAGATTGCTGTGGTTCGTATGCCAGTCAGAGGTAGAGTTGATCCTAATTCTATCTGAATGTTTTAACCCCAAGGCAGGGCTCACCCTGCTGTCTCTGGGAGACCAATGCAGAGGCTGACCGTCCAATCCTGCAAGGGACTACAGCAGCCACAGTCATAGCCCAGCCAAGATCCCAGCTGCCTTCTCTGTACACAGTGATAACTATGCCTGACCCAGGCTGTCTTTCCATACAGGAAGGACATTCCCATGGAGCACGTGACGTACGCAGACAGAGAGCAGACCAAGAAGGTGGTGTACTCCGTGGTCTATGGAGCAGGTGGGCTGACGGCAGGGGTTTAGGTCTTGGGGTCACCTATGAGCTGGATGACTGTGTACCTATATTTAAGTACAGCCATGTCTAAGAGAAACCACTCTGAGAGTCCCTGTATGTTGTTTACACAAACACTGGTGACATTGGTGTCACCCAGCACTAGTCAGACCATTTCACACTACCAGATCACAGTGTCACTGCCAACACTGTCAGGGGAGACAGCAGGTACCAGCACACTGCCACACCAGGCATCATTGTCATGCTTGGGATCCTCCTCCACACACAAACACCAAGGCTTTAGAGAGTGCAGCTACCTCAAATGGGGCCTGGTTTGTCTTGTTTTCGCTTCTCAGCACTCATTGATCTGTCCCAGAACAGAACTCATCCAGCTGGGCCAGCAGCCAAAGACAGCCCCCAACAGAGGACAGAGCCAAGCCTCAGGCCAGGAGTTGGGGCCAGCCTCAGGGGCAGCAGGCAGGAAGGAGAGGGGCTAGAGGCCAGACACCTGGGCATCCCCCTGCCGCCTCTGCAAGCTGCCCCAGGGCCCAGCAGAATCGCACTTTGCTCTCTCCCACTCTCCTCCTCTTCCTTCCACTCCCTGACATCCTTCCTTCCACTCCCTGACGTGGGTGTGTCGGAGCCTTCCTCCATCCTCAGTGCTCTCTTGCTTGCCCTCTGCTCTGCAGACATCTCCTTTAGGAGACAGATGCAGCTCTCCCCTGACTCCCTCCTCAGCCTTCCCCCACCACTGTTATTCGTTGCCCATTTCTGAGTAACAAGTTACCATAAACACATTGACTTAAAACAACGCCCACTCATCCCCTCACAGTTTTTATGGGTCTAGGGACTAGATCCCTTGCAGGCTGCAATCAGGGTGCTGGCTGGAGTGTGGTCTCATCTAAAGTTCCACTGAGGAGGTTCCAGTGGGTTCAACTTGCTTCCTGCTGGCCCATGGCCTCCAGCATAGGCAGAGCCTTTACTGTGGCACTGAGATGCCAATTCTGCACTTTCTTATCTGCTCAAGGTCTCAGGTGTAACTCACCATGAGCTCCAGAGGACAAGAGCCTAGAGGGTTTTGCTCATAGCCTGGCATAAAGAAGGCACGGAATACTCACTGAGCACACTGATGACCTTTGAGAATGTTCTGGTTGTGCACACTGTGTCTGGAAGACACACCAGAAGTGAGCTCAGTGGAGACAATGGGATGCTGGGACTCTCCTCAGTTGTTGGGCCTGTTTCCTCTTAAATGTCCTCTGAAGCTTCCTGGGGTCTCCATTCTGGGGGAAAGCAGCATTCTGCCAAGTAAACTAGACCTCAGTGCCTTGCATCCTTGCTCCAGACGTGCCACGAGCTCCAGCTCAGCAGGTCCAACGCTGCCTTCCCACCCTGCCCAGCCCAAGTCTTGATTCTGTCACCACCTGAGCATGTGGCCCTGTCCGAGGTGCCAGTATTGGTCTCCTTCTCAGAAAATGCTCTTGTGTGATTGCTGAGGCAGCACCTGGCTCAGCTAGCCCCCATCTCTTGTCATCTGCCACCTATCTGGGTCCTGCTTCAATGCTGGGCTATTTCAACAAATGCCCCAAGTGAGGCTGGACCCTCCTGTTCAGTCAGGAGAAAGGGAGGCCCACTGTGGGTAAACTGGGCTCCAAGAGGACAGCAGAGTCCCCCACAGTAGTCCCCACCCCCAGATGAAGGTGGACTTCATGGCCACCCACTGGGCTTCTTCTGGAGCATTTATTTTTTCCTGAAGAGGAAAAGAGCTACACTGTGCAAATAAGCAGTGAGTCATTGGCTGTGATGCTGGTGAAGAGGGTAATTTGGCTGCTTTTAGCCCTGATGCTGGCAGGGCTCCCACCCCAAGCTTCCACCTCACAGCCTCCATTGCTCCCGCCTGCCTGACAGCTGGAATCACCACGTACGTGTTGCTCACTTCAGGTTGTGTCTCTGTTCCCCTTTTGAAACCAGAACCTTGTCGGATTATCTGGGACCAAGAAACCAAGTGAATTCACCAGGTTCCTGAGCTGCTGGGAACCTTTGGAAAATTCAGTGGAGGGACTTTGGCCCAGGCAGGCAGCCCTGCCTTTCACAGAATCGCAACTCTGAGAGTCCAGAAACTGCTATAGGAACACTGGGCCCTGGCCGAGGCATTATTCTGTGTGTTCCTGAGGATGGTGACAGAGATAGCAGAAGCAGCTGCAAGACTTTGAAACAAGCAGAGAAGCAGCTTAAGGGCCGGCATGGCCTTTAGTCGCCTAAACTCAGCAACGTACTGGGGCACCTCCCTACTCACTGTGCCTACAGCCACCTCTGAGTTCCAACAGGAGCCATACTTCTGCAAGAAACTGCCCACAGACCCCCAGATAAAGCCCAAGGCTTTTATAATTATAACTTTCTCAGAGTTGGCCAGTCTTCTCAGTGCTTCCTCAGAGTGCTCCACAGCCAGTCACCAAGCAGTCAGCAGATGCTTATAGGATGCATGCTGTAGGCTGGGCCCACAGGAGGGCTGTGGACTAGGACTCAGGCCTGCTTCTAAGGGACATGTCTCCTCTAGAACTGAGCCTAACACTGAGAGTCCTTGGTACCCAGGGAGCCCCAAAGAGTGCCTATAAGGATGGGGCCTGAGAGCCTGGGAGGCTGCCCAGAGAAGCAACACCTGGGCTAGAGTGGAAGGTCCATCCAGGTGGAGTAGTGTTCCTGGGGCTCACTGTTGGTCAGACACTTCTCAACCCCAGTGACAGAAATGAGTGAGAGACTGAGCAATACTTATGGGGCAGTACTTAGAGGAAACGGAATGGAGGTGTCTTCCTGCAGATAAATCTATGATGTATACACACAGGACGTGATTAGCCACCTGGCAAAGGCCATATTGCTCAGATAGGATTTTAGGGGTGGGAAATGCTTAGTGTTCCTACTGAGTGGGTCCTGGGTGCTCTCAGGCATACCTGCTTGTGATTATAACCCAAAAAATAGAAACCTAATCAACTGATCAGCTCTATGAGAGAAGGAGCCAATATGTGGGCGAGAACAGAGGAGCCCTCGAGCCAAGAGATGTCCTGCTTGGGTAGGAACAGTGGGCTTGAGGGTGATAACCCCACTCCAGGGCCTGGAGAGCCATGGGACCCTCTGTCTCCACCAGCCTCTCGTCTCTGCTTCCTTTGGGGTTACTATGTCATCTGTTCCCAATGGACAAAGCGCTTAGCCACCCACTCCCCTTCAAGCAGCTTGACAGCTCTTCAGGTGAGAAGAAAGTAATTCATTCTGAGCCATAAATGTTCTGAAAAGGTGTGGCTCCTGGTAATAGCCAAGTCTCCCCCATCAGCCCAGCCCTCCCACACACACAGGCTATCCTCTATGAAATAGGTATTGAAAGCACTGGGAAGTGACCAAAAGCCAACTGAAGCTGCAAGTTGGCTGACACTTGGAAGAAAGGAATAGTGCACGGTGAACTTCCCATCACACAGCCCTGCTCCATCACTGCTGTGGGTGTGGGAACTCAGGACCCCAGTCGTACAGCCTGAAAAACCAGAGGGCAGAGTCAGGGGAAACAATAGAATCTAGAAAGTGAAGGGAGTGATTTTAGAAAGAATAGAGCCAAGGGGAAGCCCAAATTCTGGATATGTACGCTGTCCAAATCTGTGACAGACCCCTAGTTATGCATGAGTGGTACAAACGCCAGACAGCCCAGCTAAGGCTATGAGGACTGATCTGAGATTTTAGCTGCTGTTCACTGCAAGGAGAGAGAGTTTGACATTTGAATTTAGCCAAATTAACTGCTGTCTTTTAAAAAAATTAAGCTGGGTCTGGTGGCACACACCAGTAATCCCCAGAACTTGGGAGGCTGAGGCAGAAGGATTGCAAGTTTGAGGCCAGCCTCAGCAACTTAGCAAGGCTCTAAGCAACCTTGTGAGACCCTGACTCAAAATTTAAAAATAAATAGATAAAAAGGGCTTGAGATGTGGCTTAACCGAGTGGTTAAGTACTCCTGGGTTCAATCCCCAGTATCACAAAAAATAAAAATGAAACAAATTAAATTTAAAAATCAGTGCTCCTGAGAAGAACATAACAGAATCCAAAGTTTCTTTTCTTTTTAATATGCCAACTGTCATACTAAAAAGTTTCCATCAATGTTAAGAACTACGTATTTAGATATATGCATCTAGATGTATACATACACCATTATTTATGGTTACACCTTTATTGGATAAAGTATTGCATCACTGGAGTTTTCCGAGTTAATAGTGTGGAACAATATAGCTGGGACTTAATAAGATGAACTATCCTCTCATACCTACCCTTTTACATTTTGTTCCACTTAAATATGACCTATTTATAAAGCTTACATAAACATACCTCCAATTAGCGGCTAGTCTAGAAGAGAATTTTAAAAATTACTCTCATTTCAATGCTTTCATATATCTTTTAGTCACCTAGTCGCAATTATTGAGAACTTGTTGTTTAGTCTCTCAGATCTGAAATTTTTATTTCAAACATGAGCTAGGCAGGGCCCATTTCAAATCCTGATTCGCTATTGATTCAAATGGGTGTTCTTAAACTACAAACAACAGAATGTCAGTATCCCAAAGTTAGGGGAAAAGAAACAGCTTTGTGGGTCTAATCCATAGATATGGAAATTAAGTAAACACAAAATTTCTCTATTTAGATTTTAACAACTTCCCATCTTTCCTGTGCATTAGGTGCTGTTTTCAAGTACTTTACAAAATTTTCATCATTAACACACTGTGAAGTAGGTATTTATCCCATATTACAAATGGGAAAAAATAGGCTCAAAAGTTCCTATTTCTATAAAGCCCTACACCAGGGTATGCATCTGAAATACATTACCCCAAATACTTTAATTGTACTAAGTCACCGAACATCTGAAAACAAATTTTTATTTTATGATCAGTGAAAATCCTGCCAAGTAAGGTAGTGCACACCTGTAATCCCAGCCACTCACAAAACTGAGACAGGGTTGCAAGTTTAAGACCAATCTCAGTTACTTAGCAAGACCCTAAAGTCGTAATGAGACCCTGCCTCTAAACAAAACAAAAATGGGCTGGGGGACATGACTCAGTGGTTAAGTGACCCTGGATTCAATCCTATCAAAAAGAAAAAAAACCCCAAACTTAGGTAATCAAGATAGTCAAACTGTCAACAAAGACTTCTGTAGGTAGGCATTTAGTCCATAGATGATCAACTTTCATTAATACCTCTAATATCAACTTACAAGTTAACTGTTGCCTCCTCAAGTAAGCATTCCTAAAATAAATGCCATCCCCTATAAATACAAATCCTAGTGAAATTTAGATTAGTCAGGGAATATCACAATCAAATACTTCTTAGGCTAGTTACCTAGAATTCTAGACTTAAGACCCAAGATTTCATATATAATTCAAAATCTACTCGGGTATTCTACCTTTAACTTAATAAAAAGCTAAAATTTTTGTAATTTTTTTAAAAAAATCAAATGTGTACATTTTAGAATTCACCACCCTAGCTACATAAAATTTCTGAAGGCCAAAGCGGGTAAGGGACAAGTTACTTAATAAATGAATATAAGCATCAAGCACAAAGTGTAATATTTCTTTGAAAGTTCATAAACTTCTTAAAGTGTATTAAATTCCAGATCTGAATTTCAAAGTTTAAAACATTTTACTAATTCTACTGTTACCTAAGAACTATTGGGCATAATTTTTTTTCAAAAGGGAAAACTAATTTAGCGTATTAAGACAAGGACAATAGGAATAATATACATAATTTTATTACAAATTTTTAAAAAAATGCAACATCCTAAAAAACCCAAAATTTACTAATTCCTATCAGTTTGCTGTGCTACCATACACAAGAAATTAAAGAAACCATTAAATATTTAGGAACATTCAACATCAGAAGCTTTAAAATCTAACTAAAAAAGCTACAATCTGCATTTTTAAAAAATTATTTTCTCTACAAAGAATCTTAGCAACTATACAAAAATCTGTACAGTTTTTATACTGAAGCTAATGTTGAGCTGCACTTGAATTCACATTCTTAGCAAAACAGTTGCCTGAGCACACACACACACTCCACACACATCATTACAGGACAGCCACTTCTTCTTCATCCTCCTCCTCTTCCTCATCATCTTCATCACCCTCCTCTTCTTCCTCTTCCTCTTCATCTTCTGGTTCACTCTTCTTCTTTGAGCCTGTTGGCCTACCAGGGCCCTTCTTTCCTGCTTCACTTTTGCCCTTAGCACGGTATGCAGCAATATCCTTCTCATATTTCTCCTTTAGCTTAGCTGCTTTCTGTTCATATGGCTGTTTATCTTTGGCTGACTGCTCAGACCACATTTCACCCAGTTTTTTTGAGTATCCCCAGTGGACAGGCCTGGGTGTTCACTTTTGATCTTTGGGCGATGTTCAGAGCAAAACAGGAAGAAGGCAGATGGTGGTCTCTTAGGAGCGTTGGGATCTTTTTTCTTTCCTTTCTTATCACCTTTGGGAGGAACGTAATTTTTCATCTCGCTGTCATAGCGAGCTTTGTCACTTTTTGCCATATCTTCAAACTTCGACTTCTCCTTTGCAGACATGGTTTTCCATCTCTCCGAGCACTTCTTGGAGAATTTGGCGAAGTTGACGGAAGAGTCCGGGTGTTTCTTCTTGTGCTCTTCCCGGCAGGTCTGCACGAAGAAGGTGTACAAGGACATTTTGCCCCTCGGCTTGTTGGGGTCTCCTTTACCCATGGTGGCAGCCGCCATCTACCTGATGGGAGCTTTTCCTCAGAGTCCCGCAGAGCGGCCGGATCAGACAGAGAAGCTTCCTCCCCTGGGCTCCGGCGTGAACTCCAGAATCCAAAGTTTCTACAACATATTCACAATATCCAGGATACAATCCAAGATTATTAAACATGAGGAAACATCTTGGTCATACTCAAAAGAAAAAGCCATCATGGAAAAAGATCCTGAGATGACCTGGTATTGGGAGCAGCAGACAAGGATTTCAAAACTGCTATTATAACTGTGCTCAATGATATACAAATGAGGGAGGGAAAACCCTCAGCAAATAAACAGGACCAAGTGAAGATTCTAAAACTGAAGACTATAAGGTCTGAAATAAAAAAATCTCCCAGATGGGCTTAACAGCAGATGGGAAATGGGAAAAGACATCACTAAGAATAAGACTCTAAGTCCCCTCTGTCTGACCTGGCTGAGGCATCAAGCCGCCATCTGATTTCTTTCTCAAAGACAATGGACTTTTCTATCACAGCACCATAGCTCATGGGTGGTTCTTGGAATTCCACAGAAAGAAAGAGTTAGAGATGGATTATTTTGGTAACATGTAGCAAAACATAATACCTTGTTTGTGAAGATATCACACTATCTTGATTCAACCTTAAAAAGGGTGGTGGAGTGTTTTCATTTCCAGCCAAGTACCTCTGAGTAGTCAGCTAGACATGGACAGAGAGGGAGCACTGGGGTTCCAAGAGTTCATCCCTCACTGCTGTCATAAATTCTGGGAGAACAAAGCACACCACTTTTCCACTCTTCTTGGCAAAGCAGTGGAAGCAAACGTCTGCCCCTCACTGTCCCAAGACTGGAGCACTATCCATATCCAGAGCAATGGAAGGCTTCAGTGGGTGAGGCCAGCATGGCCTAGTCAAGGAGAAGACCAGACCTGAGAGGCCAGGCAACCCCACTCCTGAAAGGCTTTTTTCTTGTCTAAACAGACCCCACATCTCTGCCCTTGGGCCGTGGTCTCTGGCCCATCCTGTCTGAAAGCCTCAAGGAGGTCCCCAGCTGGCTTATCACAGGGAACAGCAAGCCCTGCCCTAGCCCGGGTGGTGATCCCCCAAGAATGCCCCTCGGGGCTTCCCTCCATCAGGGCAGCCTCCTGAAGCCCAGGGCCTTCTCCGAAATCCTATTGTCAGGGCTCCCACCCCGTTCTTGGGTTCTTGTTTTTTTCTGGAGGAAAATGGAAGAGGGTCACTCATATTCAACACCAAGTAGGAGCCAGGCAGTGCTTGAAGCTATACATGCCTTGGCTCATGAAGCTCCCTTAGCCGCCCCGTGGGAAAGGACTCTTGTTCCTCACTTACAAGTAAGGGTATGAGTTCATTGCAGGTTAGATAACTTCCCTAGGTTCCTGTGAGAGACAGGGCAGATTCACACCCAGGCCTGTGTGCTCCCAGCACCGGCACCTGACCAGCAGGAAGCTCATTGCTGTGCTGGAACTCAGGTGCTGACCCACCAGAGACCTTTCTATAAGCAGCTTCACAAGAACACCTGGAAAATATCTGTCTGGACCAAGAGCATGTGTTTCAAACTAAAAATTCCAAGCACAGAAACTCCTGAGTGCACTTCCATCATTTGGCATGGAACTTAGTCTCCTTTTCCTCTGTACCCTGTCCAGCCTCCCCGAGTTCTGCAGTTGGTCCTCCCATTGGCCAAGCCAAGAGCAGGAACCATGTCTACCTCATTTAAAGCTTCATCTGCTGCACCTGGAAGACAGTTAACATTGTTAAAAATAATAATAATAAGAGTTAACAGGCCCTATTATTTATATATATATATATATATATATATATATATATATATATATATATATAAAAATATATAAACTTGTAGATGGACACAATACCTTTATTTTATTTGTTTATTTATCTGTGGTGCTGAGGATCAAACCCAGGGGCTCACATGTGCGAGGCAAGCTCTCTACCGCTGAGTCACAACCTCAGTCCAACAGGCCCTATTTAGATCCGTGGTACTGAGCACCTGCAGACCAGGACTGCTAACGAGACCTTGACTCACCACACTGTCTCAGAGGCCTTTGGTTGGTTTATTCCCTGTACCTGGTCACTCCCTGGGGGGCACATACTCTTGGTACCCCTAACTTACCTGGTGGGGTCAGGCCTAGACTCTGATCACGTGTCTTTCTGGTTCACACAGGGAAGGAGCGGCTTGCTGCTTGCCTTGGAATTACTGTTCAGGAAGCCACCCAGTTTTTGGAGAGCTTTTTGCAGAAGTACAAGAAAATCAAAGACTTCGCGCAAGCAGCTATTGACCAGTGTTATCACACAGGTAGGGCAGCCGCAGCCACGCCCTGGCACCCCCTGCTTCCTCCCCTCTGCAGCTTCCAGTGCTGTCTGTCACTCCTAGCTTTACAGCTGGCAGGTGGACAGACAGGTGGACAGTGTGTGGATGGGCAGGGCTGGGCTGCTGAGGCTGCAGTGCCTGGATGAGCTACAGTTCCTGCCGATGAACAGAGAGGGCCATCACCAGAGCCAGGCTCCACCTGAAGCAACAACCTAGTGTAGCCACCCAGATAGGTAGAGAGACAGACAGGACCTGGGCCCAGAAATGGAAGACATGTGGCACATTTACAAAACACCTCCAGTCTGGTCACAAAGGAAACCCCGAAAGATTTCATGTCTGTGACCACAGTGTACTAAGAAGTCCCTTGATACATGGCTCTGCATGTGCCATTCACATACCTGCTTGGAACTGTGTCACAGTCCCAAGTAACTTAAGATAAAAAAAGACATTCCAAGAAAATACAAGATTTTAGGAGTAAAAGACAGTAAAATAGAGGCTGGGGATGTGGCTCAAGTGGTAGTGCGCCCGCCTGGCATGCGCGAGGCACTGGGTTTGATCCTCAACACCATATTAAAACAAAATAAAGATATTATGGACTCCAAGATGGCCACGAATAGAGTGCATCACACCCCGTGTACCGCGCCACTGCGCAGGTGAATAACGAGTTAGAATGACAAAAAACTATCTTGTTAGGAACTTACAGCAAAATGGGGGTGCACCGAAACCTAGAGGAAGGATTTCCAGCACCGAGGTCCGGTAATTGAGTCTCAAACACGAGCTAACTGTGCGACCGGAGATCCAGGCTGACTGATCTGCGCGGCCCGCCCCGCGGCTACAGACGGCGGGGCGGCGCCGAGAAGCGACCAGCAAGCAGGGAGAAACGTTGCTGCGGATTCTGTGGAATCCTGCCGGCTGAGCCCTCACTGAGCCCCGGGCTGAGTTCGGGATTTCAGACGGGGAAGGAATACCCCACAACGGAAACTCCACCAAGGAAACCAGCGGCCACCATCTTGGAGAGCTGAAGTAACCACCGCCACTCTCCGACAGGTTGCAACAATAAAACAGGTGTGTGTTACTCAGCTCATCTCCCATACAGCGGAGAATTCGCATAAAATCTCTCCTAGGCTTTCCGGGGGAGGGATTATCAGAGTGAGCCTGCATAAAGACGCGGGGAAAACTAGAGACACCTGACCTTCAACTCCCCCTCCCATCAGCAGCGAAAACGAAACCTGTCTTGCCAGCGCTGGGGGAGGGGCAAGCGGAAAAAATCAAAACAATAGAGTGCCAGGGTTCCCAATAGCCACCCTCCACACCCAACAAACGGCAGGCCCAGAGTACAGTTTGAACTGCCGAGAGGCATCACTCAGGGGAAATCTGGTCTAGCAGGAGAAACCAGGACTAGCAGGAGAAACCAGGGGACTAGAGGCCAGGCCCGCGCAACTGGGCGGCTGGAGACCGCCCGCCCGCCGGTGACCGGGAGCTGAAACCAACCAGAGACAGTCCAGTCCCACCCCCCCATTCGGACACCCCGGCAAGGAGCCTGGGGCCCGCCATAGCAGAGAGGTGACGTCACTGGAGCTCGGCCATCGGAATTCCTTCCCAGCGGAATCCACTTTAGCAGGCATAGTCCACCAACACAAAGGAGAGACAACAGAGATATACAAAACCAAAACAAATCTATAGAAGAGAGCAGAAACACAGCAATCAAATAGAGCTGGAAAGTAACGTGAACATCATGAAAAAACAAGGGAAAAAAGGAGTACAAACAATGCAGGACAACTTAAATCTACAGGAGGACCTAGAAGCATCAGAAACATGGATAGGGAAAGAACTCAAGGCATACCTAACTCAGATGGAAAGGAATATTAGAGAAGACATGAGACAGCAAGTCCAAGCAATAAAAGTATATTTTGAAAATGAATTAAACAAACAAATTCAAATGGCAAAGAACGAGCTTTACCAGGAGATAGAGATCTTAAAAAAAAATCAAACAGTAATCCTAGAAATGCAGGAAACTATAAACCAAATTAAAAACTCAAACGAGAATATTACAAATAGACTAGATAAAGTAGAAGTCAGAACATCAGATAATGAAGACAGAGTTTATCAACTTGAAAAGAATATAGTCAACACAGAAAAGATGCTTAAATCCCACGAGCAATCTATTCAAGAGATATGGGATGTCATAAAAAAACCAAATTTGAGAGTCATCGGGATAGAAGAAGGCATAGAGATTCAAACCAAAGGAATGGACAACATATTAAATGAAATAATTCTAGAAAATTTCCCAGAGATGAAAGATGGAATGGATTGCCAAATCCTGGAAGCCTACAGGACCCCAAACATTCAAAACCGTAATAGACCAACTCCAAGACATATAATTATGAAGATAGCCAACATACAGAACAAGGAGAGAATATTAAAAGCTACGAGAGAAAGGAGGCAGATTACATTCAGGGGTAAACCAATTAGGTTAACGACTGATTTTTCATCACAGACTTTGAAAGCGAGAAGATCCTGGAACAATGTATTTCAAACGCTGAAAAATAATGGATTCCAACCAAGAATACTGTATCCAGCAAAATTAAGCTTCAGATTTGACAATGAAATTAAAATCTTTCACGATAAACAAAAGCTAAAAGAATTCGCAGCCAGAAAACCAGCACTACAAAGCATTTGGAGCAAAATACTTCAAAGAAGAGGAATTGAAAAATAGTGCCCAAAACTAACAGCGGGAGGTATCTCAGTAAAGGGGGAGGAAAATAACCAAAAAGTAAAAACTAGCCAAACTAAAATAAATAAATAAATAAACATGACTGGAAGTACAAATCATATTTCAATTGTAACCTTAAATGTTAATGGCCTAAACTCACCAATCAAGAGACATAGGCTAGTAACCTGGATCAAAAAAACAGATCCAACAATATGCTGCCTTCAGGAGACTCATATGATAGGAAAAGACATACACAGGCTGAAGGTAAAAGGTTGGGAAAAATCATACCACTCACATGGCCCTCGGAAGCAAGCAGGAGTGGCCATACTCATATCGAATAAAATCAACTTCAAACCTAAGTTAATCAAAAGGGATAAAGAAGGACACTATATACTGTTAAAAGGAACCATCCACCAACAAGACATAACAATTATCAATTTGTATGCACCAAACAGTGGAGCTGCAACGTTCATAAAATAAACTCTCCTCAAGTTCAAGAGTCAAATAGACTACAACACAATAATTATGGGTGACTTCAACACACCGCTCTCGCCATTAGACAGATCCTCTAGACAAAAGCTGAATAAAGAAACTATAGAATTCAATAGCACAATCAATAACCTAGACTTAACCGACATATATAGAATATATCAACCATCATCAAGTGGATACATGTTCTTCTCAGCAGCACATGGATCCTACTCAAAGATAGACCATATATTATGCCATAGGGCAACTCTTAGTAAATATAAAGGTGTGGAGATAATACCATGCACCATATCTGATCATAATGGAATGAAACTGGAAATCAATGATAAAAGAAGGAAGGAAAAATCCTACATCACATGGAAAATGAATAATATGTTACTGAATGATCAATGGGTTACAGAAGACATAAAGGAGGAGATAAAAAAATTCTTAGAGACAAATGACAATACAGACACAACATACCGGAATCTATGGGACACAATGAAAGCAGTTTTAAGAGGGAAATTCATTTCTTGGAGTTCTTTCCTCAAAAAAAGAAAAAACCAACAAATAAATGAACTCACACTACACCTCAAAAACCTAGAAAAGGAAGAGTAAAACAACAGCAAATGTAGTAGAACACAAGAAATAATTAAAATTAGAGCAGAAATCAACGAAATTGAAACATTGAAAAAATTGATAAAACTAAAAGTTGATTCTTTGAAAAAATAAATAAGATCAACAGGCCCTTAGCCATGCTAACGAAGAGAAGAAGAGAGAGAACTCAAATTACTAACATACGGGATGAAAAAGGCAATATCACAACAGACACTACGGAAATACAGAAGATAATTAGAAAGTATTTGAAACCCTATATTCCAATAAAATAGAAGATAGTGAAGATATTGATAAATTTCTTAAGTCATACGATCTGCCCAGATTGAGTCAGGAAGACACACACAATTTAAACAGACCAATAACAAAGGAAGAAATAGAAGAAGCCATCAAAAGACTACCAACCAAAAAAAGCCCTGGACCGGATGGGTATACAGCGGAGTTTTACAAAACCTTCAAAGAAGAATTAATACCAATACTTTTCAAGCTATTTCAAGAAATAGAAAAAGAAGGAGCTCTTCCAAATTCATTCTATGAGGCCAACATCACCCTGATCCCGAAACCAGACAAAGACACTTCAAAGAAAGAAAACTACAGACCAATATCTCTAATGAACTTGGATGCAAAAATTCTCAATAAAATCCTGGCGAATCGAATACAAAAGCATATCAAAAAAATTGTGCACCATGATCAAGTAGGATTCATCCCTGGGATGCAAGGCTGGTTCAATATACGGAAATCAATAAATGCTATTCACCACATCAATAGACTTAAAGACAAGAACCATTAGATCATCTCGATAGATGCAGAAAAAGCATTCGACAAAGTACAGCATCCCTTTATGTTCAAAACACTAGAAAAACTAGGGATAACAGGAACTTACCTCAACATTGTAAAAGCTATATATGCTAAACCTCAGGCTAGCATCATCCTAAATGGAGAAAAACTGAAGGCATTCCCTCTAAAATCTGGAACAAGACAGGGATGCCCTCTATCACCACTTCTATTCAATTTAGTTCTTGAAATACTAGCCAGAGCAATTAGACAGACAAAAGAAATTAAAGGCATAAAAATAGGAAAAGAAGAACTTAAATTATCGCTATTTGCGGATGACATGATAATATATTTAACAGACCCAAAAGGGTCTATAAAGAAATTGCTAGAGTTAATAAATGAATTCAGCAAAGTG